ATACATGTGTATATACATACATACACTATATATTTATATTAAAGAAGTGAGCATTAATACGTGAGCCAGTGGGACCATGTGACAGGGTGGTATTCTTGCCACCTGTACTGTTTTACGTTGATAAGGTGATATTATGATAATACAGAAGAGCAATTCATGCAAAAAATAAATAAATAAAATATAAAAAAATATGTGAACTACAATATAAAGTGACCATAAAAAGTAACAGTGTAATAGGTAAATGCAAATAAAAAAAAAAAAACAAATAAAAATAAATGCAAGTAAAGTGAGAGTGTGGATGACAATTTTTTCTCATAAATTTATTGTATTATTTAAACAGACTAAAAAAATATTTTTAATGTAAAATTTTCTCCCGTTCGCGTGTGCAGATATTGGACATACATGAAACGAAGTAATTACAAACATTTAATTTAAACACATGCCAATATAGTGTTGCGATTCATTCAGAACTTTGGACTGATTAATTTATTTCAAACACTTAACGGCAACTTAACAACTGCCAGGTTCACACATCGGATCGCCGCCGCCGTCGTCACTGTCGTCGTCGCCGTCGCCTTCGTTGTGTCGTTCTTCATTGATTGTATCCTGTGTTTGTTGTGTTTACTTATGAAATAAAATTACCAGGTTCACATATCGAAGTTTAAGCCAATTAAATAAAAAAAAATTATAGTTAATTTTAGTGACAACTTAAGATTTAAAATAATGAATTCGATTTCTAATAAATTTATAAATATTTTATAAATAAAAAAAATTGTGAATTTTCTCCACAATAAAAGGAAATTAAGTGAACAGTCAAAATTAACTTGACGGATTTACCGCGGCGGCGACGACTGACATCAAATGTTCAACACGAGCCAACACAAATATCACATTGAGGATTTGTTGCCGCTTTCGTTGCAAGAGTGGACCAGCAGGTGCAACGTCAAAACCAATAACCAACAGCATCAGTACTGCCACTTCTTGACGACATTTTGCATGTCTCTGATGCTACTGAGAGCCTATTTAAAAAAACTAATAAAAATTATGGATAAATAACATCTATAAATTGTCCTGTAGGTGAAAAAGTTTTTAAAAACTATCTTTTTATTTTCTTTACCATATTTCCTAACTGAAAACTATAAAGCCTTAATTGCATGAATAGAACATTTTTTTTTTTGAATAAACTCTTTTAGCATGCAAAATAAAATGTGGCTAAATTTTCTTTTATATTTTTTTTCCTTTTCGGAGCGCTCAATAAATTGACAACTAATTAATTGCCGCTTCATTAAGCGCAATGACACAGGGGCTACCATGATTTATTTACATTTGTAAATTCGACAACAGATTTTTTGATCAAATATTATATAAATAAATTAAAAATTCAAATTTTCTACTGATGCATTTTTTTTTTGTTTTTAATTTTAATATTCGAAATACAAATTTTAATATTTTAAAAGTAAAAAAAAACGTATTTATGTTCGCAAATGAGTGATGAAACCCATAATTTATATATGAAAAAATATTTTCTTTGGATGACGAAATTTCTGCACCTTTTTTAAATGGAGAAGCGTTTCATTTTAGACATGATTGAGAATTTATTTTAAACTTGTATATATGTCTAGAATATAAATTTATTATTAATTACTACTTATATATCATGAAATATGTGTAAAAGTATATTCAAATCCAATCATAGTTATTAAAAAAAAATGATTCCAAAAAACCTTATTTTTATGTTTTTTGTTTCTTTACTTTGTTACTTTGTTTCTTCCGCTTTCACAATATACTATAATAAAATAATAAAATACATATTAAAAAAAAATTAACGCAAGTCACTTTTTTAAATTTATTTATCGTAATTAACAAACTTTTATTTATTGCATTTAATATTATATATTATATATACTCGTTAAAAGTTAAAGTTAAGGCCGAAAAAAATCGTACCTCTAATGAATAGATGCAAATTGAATGTAAATAATTTTATTCCAGATATTTTAAATCAGATTTTTATTGTATATATTTTTAGAAAGAAAACTTATCTCTATTTTTAAAATGTTGTAATAACAATCATTTAAAAAAGTGCGACAAAAAATAGAAAAGGTGAGGGTGAGAAAACTAAGAAAAGTGCCTTGGAATCTAAAACATCCGAAACACTTCCGAATGCAATATCTTTTGCAAGCTTATAAAAAATGAAAATAAACTAAATATAGAGCATATTTTCTGAAATACGAAAATGCAGATTTATTCCTATTACAAGGCTCAAGGTACAAAAAAGGAAAAATATTACACAAAATACAATATAAAAATGACGCCAATTTTATTCACAATATATATGTATGTTCTCATTTTATCTTGACGTGCCTCCACTTTCACTAAATTTAATATTTTTATTTCATGAAATCGGTGTATATTACTAATGAGACTGTCTTTTCCCATTAAATTACGGACAATAAATTACAAAATATTGATAATTTTCTCTTTTGATGAAATTCCAATTTGTGGTTTGCGTCTTGCGTGTTAATGTTTTCTCCCACGAGTGGTGTAACTTATAGTTTAATTTAGGCCGAAAGACGTATGAATTTTTATGAGGCGCTTTTGCTTCATGTTAGAAATACAATCGAAGGTTTTGACCTCTTCTGCCGACTTTCAGTTTTGTTTTTAATTTTGATTTCGTTTTGATGTTTTCAATATCGCTGAGTTTTAAAAAACCAAAATTTTTCTGAGTAAAAGTAGTACTATTAGAAAGAAGGACGAAAAATTTCTATAATAACAATAAAAATTGGTTGGTAAGTAAATATGTATAATAGACTATATTTGAAGCAAAGACTGACCGAGTCTTATATGCCCTCACATGCAGGTTTTCTCATATTCTTCTCTACAGGTTAATGCGATTTTTCAGAATTGGTTGCTACATCTCTTTGTGATGTTTTGAGAAATGAGTTTCAAATCATGTATAAATCACTATCACATAGCTTTCAAAAATTCTACCGCTGCTAAGGAGAATCCTTTAAAATTTATTGCTCCTAACAAAAGAGGTAAGAGCCGAAATGTTACATCGTGACTATTTGCCTCGGTTTACGAAATAAAAAAACATTTTTTCCGCAACTGCTTTGACAACTCTAGCCTAGAAGTACAGGTCATAAAATATGGCTGATTAGCTTTGGTTTAATTGAGTTTATTAATGGAAAAAGCTAGCTCAAAATGAATAAAGAAAAAAACATTCGCAAGGCCGTGATATCGATGGGGACGAACTTAGCCTTGTTTCTAAGTTTGACAATAACTGGTGAATGTGCTTTCAGCTTTTGTTGCAATAAAGAGCATACTCGCACTCTAGGTGAGACCAAAATATTATTTTTTAGTACTCTTTTCTCATAAATTTTACGATGTCTTAAAAATTATCTTTCAATTAGATCTGTACAGAAATCTGTTGCAATATAATATTAATTTAGATTTGTTTTTGAAGTAACACATGTGATAATCTAAAATACCTCTTCTAATTTAAATATCTAATATCGGATTGCAAACCAAAAATAATTCAAAATAGCTAAATTGATAATTTAATTCATACTTTATGTTGTAGCCAAATATCTTGAAATTATTATAATATAAAAATCATAGGAATATGCCATTGTCCTGCAACAGTAACTACTTATACAACATCTGCGTGCTTTTCTCAAAAGAGTCACGTGCTTACCGAAATTGTGTCAGTGAAATTGTGTCTAATGAGAAAAAGAACGATAGGTTCTTAGAGTTTAAGGAAAAGATAAAGTGATTCTCCTTAAAAAATCTAAGCAAAACAGTAAGGGGTAGGATTTTCTAACCCCATATGTATATACAATAACTAAAAATAACTGAAAATAGTAGGGTTATGCTAGTGAATTATCTCTCCAGCTTCATGTTACATTCAAATCACCACCAATGTTTGTTTTAAACTTCGCTGCGCTGCATAAAGAGGCAAGATAAATTGCTCATTTGTATGGCGGCACTCATCTAAGGACACCAGCATTAATATTGCTGGTCGGAAGGTAGCATACATAAGCCTAACTGAGCAGGTGAGTGTGTTTTCGTCAAAAGTTGAGGGTGATTCTGCCCCACATCCATCGCTTTAGGCCGTAAGCCAAATTTGTGCACGCACTGACCGCCAACAACACTTCTCACTTCTACTTATGTACATTATTACAACAACGATTGCGAACAGTCGCTCTCTATCTCTCTCTCTCTCTCTCTGTCTCTCTGTAGTTAGTTGAAATCCACTCATAGTGTGGCATGTGTTAGGAGAAGGATATAAAAACTTTTTGATATGTGTTTCTACACATAAACAAACGTATATTCAAGTGCGTGAATTTCAATGCACTACAGCATTTCAGGATGCTCTCTTGCACGTGTAATGGCACGAACATACACACATACGTTTACATTCAATATACGCTATTGCTGGTTCTCGCTCACTGATGCGCGCGCATGTGTTCTCACTGGCAATTCGAGCACATTACTCCACCAAAATCGTGTGCGTTTAGGCGACGAGCGTAGAGAGTAGATAGTAGCAAAGGGTGGCGGCAATGCCAGCAGCCTCAGCATCAGTTTTAGTATCCACCGCATGTAGCACCAAATCATACTGCCGCTAGCCTTGCTACGCCTTACCTAATCGGGTTGGCAACCTGCATACACGTATATGATAGGCGATTTCACTCACGCGGCGAATGCGCGACCTTTTCCTTAGATTTTCTGACACTTTTCCATGCTTTTCGCTGTTTTCCGCTAGTTTGAATTCATCCCACTCCAACACCCTTCTGCACGTTCGCCTGAATTTATGTGGCTAGCTACGGCAATATGTGAGTATGTGAACACGTTATGCTCGTATGTATACTTCAAACATTTTTTTGAGTTCGCGCGCGGCGTCGATGGCGTCGCCGCGAACTATACGCGCCACCAAACAACCGGGCTAACTGATTTTTTCGATTTAGTACAAAGCTTCACATCAACGTCGTCGTACAATTTTTTTAATTTTTCGCATTTTTCAATTTCGTTTTTCTGTTGTTGTCCTCTTTAACATACATTAACCGGCTAATTAAAAATTGCTAAAAAGAAACCAAATCAAATTAAAGCAACAAAAAAAAACTCAAAGTTTATACAAAGTCATGTTTATTGAACAAAAAGAAAAAACACGAAAACAAAAAGCGTGAGTTCCACATAAAGGCCCGAAAACAGAAAAACAGTTCCAATAAGTCTAATAATAAGACTGCAAAAATCAACAAAACAAATACGACGTGAACGACAATTAAATTGTGCAATATTTTTGAAGCATTAAAGACAAGAAACAGTAAAAAAAAATACAAAGATACAAGTGTTCTTTAAAAAAAAGGCTAATATCGACGAGATGTCAACGAAACAATACCAAACACGGTAAGGATTGAGCGAAATCTTCAGTTTAGCTCCATATACTAGACACGTGTATATACATATGTGTGTACACATGTAAATATCCTCATTTATCTTGCTAATGCGGCGAGTTTACTTGCCTAACTCACTAGCTCCCCGCCAGAACTAACCACAATAGACTTTCAGTGAATCGTCGCTACTCAAATGCACTTCTCCGCAGCTCACAAGTATGTAGAAATAGACGTTTATCAAACGAATTAAAAAAACATCCACAATTAGAATCTATACCTCGCAGGCCTTACTGCCAGCAACCCTCTATCTGCACAGTGGCTTGTGAGACAACTTAACCTTACTCGAATCAACTCAATTTCGTTCATATATTTGGAAGGGAACTCATTGCACTAACAGGCGCACCACCACATATTACTCCTGCTTGGTATTGTGTTTAGCTTGAGAGCACGCTGTGCTTAGTTTGTTGCGAGTGTCGTCTCAACTGTCGGCATCATCCTGAGCGAGTATGTTTTGTCGTTGCTCATCTTTTCGCACACACACTCTTGAAAGAAAAGCGAGATAATTCGATACTTTGCAAGTGTGTGTGTATGTGTGTTTGTGTGCGAGCATCTATGTTCTCGAGTAGCACGCAGAAGCAGCAAGCATTGCACCCCAAGCACACCACCGCATCGCATCACCACCCAACTCGGTTACGTATACGCCATGACGACGCGACGTGTACACTTCTTCTAGTTTATCTTAGGATATGTGTACGCACAGTTGCGGTGGGTTGTATCTGGTGAGCTCTCACTATTCACATGCCGCAGCCGCCAGTCTACACTCTACCTTACTTTGCTTTAGACAAGTGCGTCTCATGCATCGTTTTCTTCAGCACGAACGAAGACTATCACAACGAAATAAAGCCGTAATTTAACGCATAAATCTACATGTAGATATGCTCTCCGTTGAGTATGTTTCTGTGCAGACTATGTGTATGTATTGTGTACTTAACGCCGCTTTTTGTGTAGATAAAGGTTTTATATTTTATATTTGCTTTGGCGTTTGTATAAAATTCCTTACAGCCAAATAGGGGAGGCAAGTCTCTCTTTCGTATATATATAATTAATATATTTATATAAGCATATATTAGAATATCTATATATATGTATATTTGTGAAATTGTATGTAGGGAAAAACTGAGAAGTTACGTGCAGATGAAAGTCAGACTGCCTCCTTCTATCGCATTTGTGTGTGCACATGTTTGTGTTTGAATTAGAAGAAAATGTAACAAATTCGTGTGCAAACGGATACTGCTTCTCATATTTAACTGAAATTACTGACATTTTGGGCAAGTGGTGGGGTAGGCGGGTAAAAGCCTGCCTTGTGCGCGTGCGATGCTTCTGGCTTATGCTTATCCATATTTCTCAAGTCCTAAGCATTTCTTCTCGGCACCTTTACTACTTATCGTCTCTGACCTCCCACTGCCTGCACTTAAGGCTTATGCGTGTGTATGTGTATGGGTGTGTGTGTGTGTGTGTGTGTATGGAAGACGCAAGTGGCCATAATATACTTGGTTTCATTTGATTTTGTGCGACGTAGAGTCTTTGACTGTCACAACAATTTCAGTTATTCAGTTTGATTCTAGTCTCTCATGCTGTAATGTGTGTGTTTTGCCAACTCGAAAGTTTACTTCATCCAAAAGTCATCATACCGTAATAATTTTATTTTAAATGATTTTAATATGTTTACAAAAATAAAAAATAACTGTATCAATTAATCGAAAAAATCGAAATCATACAAAAAAAAAACGTTGTGATTCGGGGCAGGCATAAATTTAAACAACTACACGAGAATTAAAAAAAATTAATTAAAATAAGTGTTTATAATTATATAAAACGAAAATAAATTAATGTGTTTTGAAATAAAAAGCTTTATGTAAATTAAAGCCGAAAGACTTGAGCAAAAAAAAATATTTTTTTATTTATTTCTTCCTGCCATTTATCAAATACGAAATATTGTATTCGCCCTTGCAACATCAAAAACGCGAAATGTAAACAATGTGAAGATAACGAATCAGCCTGCAAGTTGGCTTCCAAGTGAGCAATTCTATTTTTTATTCGTTTAAAAATTACCGTAAGCAACAGTCGCCCCACTCCGAGGCATGCCATGACCGTAGCCAACAGCATTTCTACCGTTGAATGTGATATTGGATGAGTGAGTAGTGAGAGTGCTCCATCATATTCACGTAAAATTCTACATGCATACGTGTACATACATACATACATGTGAATATGTGCTTATGCTTAATGTAACAATACACATACATATGTACATATAAATATATAATGTCATTAGCTCTAAGTAGCGCTCTCTAACAGCATCGCTAACAGCAGAAGCTATGGCCTACATATTCGCAGCCTCTGTATGAACAGTGTCTATTACTTCGAGCGTCAAAAAGGGCACCTTGACTCGAACTGTTAGCGAAACCGCCACGAGTTAAACACAAAATTCAACTTGGCTCAAGAAGTAATTCGCTTGTTGGCTCGAGGCGAGCTTATGTACTTCCTTCCAATAGCCATAGACGCTCAACTACTCATGTCAGTTGATTATCTCTTCGGCTTACTTCCTGTCTTCCGTCTTCTCACCTTCTTCCTCCACCGCAAGTGTGAGTTTGTGGCTCTTTTTTACTTACACCACACACTCACACATACATATATATGTACATCTCATATTCGTATATATGTATGTCTGCAATTTAGGAAAATTTGAGCAAGTTGGCCCTTCAGATAAAAGGCACCACCAAGCAGTCGAGCAGCTAGCGCTCAATAAACGAAAGATTGCTGCGCACATATTTACTTTTAATATATACTTATAATATATAAATAATGCACACATACATATATAGTTATTTATATGTATATATTCTAAAGCAGCGCTGCTTACGCGTATAGGTCTTCAAAATGTCCCAACAAACCCATACAAACACATACAAATGTAACATGCCAATGTAACGTGTGGGCGTTCTATTAGAATAAGGGACTAAAGGGGATGACTCGAAGGATGCTTTTACGAATGTCCAACTAAAGTAATGGACGGACAGGCGGGCGAACGAACGGAAGTTTGCTTGGTGGGCTGGTAACTATATACCTTAACATAATCATTCGGGTATCGTTTTATTGTGTACATTCGGCTTGACCAGAGCTTCGGACTGCCGTTCGGTCGATCGGTCGGTCGGACGGTCGGTTGGCTGATTGTTCGTTCAACAACTTGGGTTCTATGCCCCTTCAACATAACAGCATACCATCTTCTCGCTTTTCCTTCATTATACTTAATTTATTTTCATACTCATCTATTCCACCATAACTGCCTCGCTGTTTCCTACATCTATTCTTCTGCTGCAGCTTCATGCTTGCTTCAGTATGGATTTAGACTTATTCATTTACTTCTTCTTTTTCTCATCTTCATTCGCAATTCTAAAGAGAAGATACAGCAGAAACAGTAAGAGATATTTTATACATTATAGAAAATGAGGAATTTGTTATGAGTCGCTCGCCTCATCGCATTGGAGATGCCGAGTGAATTTCGAGTTGTACGCGGGTGGGGAAGATCCAATCCGGTCGGCCAGTTAAGCAGCCGGGTATACTGAGTGCTCACCACTTATCTTTTGGGCGAGTGGGCATTGCTGGCACAAGAGTACCTAAAAATATGTGTGAGTTTATGTGTGCATCATCTGGTAGTGTCTTCAACGGCGCTTGCTGAACCTTTTGCTAGCTCGTTGGCTGACTGGCCGTCTGCTTTGCTTGGCTGCGAGTTTAGTTTGGCAGTGCAACTCCTTCGGCGGTGTTTCGTTATAAAATAATTTTGTACAAATTATAATATAAAAGGACTTGGCATGTCCTTCTTGTGAGACATTCGTCTTGGGTCAAGCGAACGCTCAGCGTACATTTTGTACGTCGTCTTTATCGCGTCCCCGTTCTCAAAATTTAAGTTGAGCTAAATTATTAAATCAAATTAGAAGAACAGAAAAAAAAATCAATCTAAAAGAAACAAAAATAATAAACAAACGAAAACGAAAAAAAAAATACAAACAAAAATAACAAATTGCGCTGCAATCGAAAATTAAATGAATTAGTTCTCCAATTAAATGTTTTCCTTTCATTTTCAGTTAGTTCGGTGATTTTTCTTGATTTCTAAAAATAGTGCGTGTTTCAACCGCGGTTAACAGCGAAAATAATTGTGTCGTAACGAGTCTTTAAATGAACTATTGTAAAATATCAACTCAAAGTGTCTCGCAACTATTTATTTAATGTTTGGTAAAAAGGATAAGAAAGATTATATGCGAAAAGTCAAAGAAATATTTACAATTTTTATTTCAAAATATTTGTTGTAAACATAAGAACTTGATAAAATGATTAATGTGATTTTATGGCTGATTTCAGGCGTTGTGTAATACTTAAAAATTAGTTCATAAAGTCAGTGGCTAGTAATGAGAGAATTAAAAATTATATTCTATGCAAGAAAACAAAAAATATTTTATTTTACCTTAATGCTTTCCTTAACCATTTGAACGTTAAATTTTAGATTATGTGAAAACTATGATGGAGCATTGCATAAATTTGCTAATAAAATTTGCTTACCACTTTGATTATGGCCGAACTTGGCACATATAAAATGAATACAATAATATGTAAAGCAATAATTATTTTTCTAATATTTAACTTGAAATTAGACTTTAACGCTTGCTGCTAAAAAATATAAAATAATAAATATAAATATTTGAAATAGCCTTAAAATCACGTTAGATTTTTACTAAACTCACTTATATTTATATAGATGAGAATAAACTTTGCGAATGTAAGTATTTAGTTCAAAAAAAGTTTGTATACGCTAAAAATAAATCGAATTCAAATGAGTGAACGACAATAAAATTACAATATAACTAATACAAGTGAAATTTTAATACATCATAACCGACGCTAAAACCGAGTTTTCTTTTGTTAAAAATATAAAAGTCATATAAAATTTTAAAAATGTTACAAATGCAACGAATTCGACAAGAAAAAATATTTGACAATTCATTGTCTCAATTGCAAACGCTGAAACCTCCGTTGTTTATGTGCCAACGCTGAAAAATAAAATGAAAATGTAGTCACCGCGTTGCCGACGCTTAATCGTTATGATATTCACACAGTTCATTCTATAATTTCTACGTTCAAAAACAAGTTTGGTTAGAATTCCTTGCATACTCTTAGGCTCGTTAGTTTATACTGTTACATATTCGCGTGCGTGTACGATTTTGCGTTGCATACTTTTTGGCGTAAACATTGCTTGTAACCTTACTAACAATGGTCACGTTCCTTCTCTACCTCTGAAACGCTGAAACGCACTTGATTTCGGTTCAATGTTGCTTTTATTATCAACCTATTAGTGCCAACAAACGCGTCGCGGCGTGCTTGCTCTCAAATTCACCCCACCGCCGCCGATCAACGAACTACCTACGACAACAGAAATTGGCGCCAATCACATGTGAAGCTACGCTTTAATTGTGTTTGCATTGAATGCTCTGCTGCGTGGTGAAAGCAAATTAAAACGTCAATAAATAGAAAAAAAGAAAAACAAACCATAAACAAAAATCCCATACGAGTATGTTCGAAATAAAATAAAAAAAAGTATTGCGCAAACCAAGCAGTATTTAGCAGTTGCAGTTTTTAATGAAAGTGAAGTGAAGTTTGGCAGCAGGAAAGTGCAAAAAATCGAATCAAAATTACAAATCAACACAAGTAATGTTACCTAAGCAAATGTGTTGGCGGTTGCAAGTATATGTACAAGTATTTAAGCTTATCTGTACATGTGTTGCTGGGCGAGGATTCTTAGGCGGGACTGCACAAAACCTAAACTGCAAAGCATGATTAATGAGATATGGAGGTGCATCTACAAAGTCAACAGTTTAACCAGCGCCAACAAATTGAAAATGATGCCACAAACGTCGCCAGCTGCTGGCCATTTTTATGCTGGTGCTGTAGTGTTGAGGCAGCCTGAGACTCTGGTACCGATTGTGGCGCTTGTCATGCCTCAAACACTATTGCAATCGCTGCCACGAATGCTGCACGCACTCTAGCTGTTGCAGCGGTTGAGTGCTCGGGCGCTCGAGCATTCGAATGCAGCTCACTACGCTCAAACTGCGCTCTTCGTTTTGTAAAACTTTAAGGGTAAAATATCGAAAGAAAGTATTGGTGAAAATTACAAAAAAAAAAAAAAAAACAGAACCCAAAAAAAAATTTTACACAAGTATAAATGAAATCTAAATTAAAAAAAAAAATAAAAACACAACTGGACAATATATGTACATTCTCATGATCATTTCCATATATGTTAAATGAAATTATACTGATCTCAAAGTTATATTTTACATAAAAACCTCGTTTGGATACTTAAATTGGTACTGAAAGTAGTTTAGGTTTTTGATAAATGCCACGGAATAAACAGTTTCATACATTTCAAATATCACTTCATATGGTTTTCGTATAGAAATTAATTTATTTATTTAATGCTCAAATAGTAAATTAATAATTAGTTAGTGTTACAATATTAAAATTAAAAAAAAATTTAATTTATTTTAAATATTTTTAATTTTGAATGGAATATATTTTATTTTAATTATAAGATAATTTCAAGAACGATGCCAAGAATGCATCATTTTTCTTTGTTTTTGAAGTTATAAATTTTTCAGAAGCATGAAAGCAAACTAAAAAAATTTGAGCTAAGTTACTCCAATTTCCTTTTTCCACTATTCTATTTCTGTTATTGTTTTACCCAAATATGTAGTTCCCATAGAGTATATCTATACTATTTTTTGTTACTGACTTGAAGACTTTTTTTAACAGAAGCTACTTTTAAAAAATATTACCTGCATTATCTTACATCATTAATAACTAAATACTTTTATAGCTCTTCCAGTTTCCTTTTTTCATGTTTTGCTTAAAAATTTTATTTAACAAAAATACTTTCGAAACAAAACTTAGATTTTTTACGCAGATATTGGATTTTAACAATTGTAAGATTCATTTTTTTAATTTTAAATGTAAATTTTTTTAAATTCTAACCTAAAATCTAAGTTTTTCAAAATGTATTACTGCGCTTACCAGAGGTGATTTATTTCGATTATTTCATTTAACCTAATCTGATTTAGGCTACTTCAGTTGCTTAGAGGTTGTTTGTAATTTCTTTAACATTTTCAATAAAAAATTTAATACTCATATATTTTGCATTAATTATTAATTAATATATTATAATATTATAATTTACTTTGTAACAGTGTCTGTCCTTGAAAGCAATAAAATACTTGGAAACTTTGCTTGAATTAGAATTCACCTTAAATAATATCTTATATAATACATTATTGTTGCAGTATTTATTTTAATTTTTAATGATAAAAAACAATTTATTTGTGAATAATTTAATTTTATTTATTTTCTTATTGTTGTTGATGATTTGCTTATCATTATTAAAATTGTAGGCGTTAATCATTTGTCCGTTTCATTTTAAATCTTCAGTGCGCTATTTTATAAATCTTTTGTTATTTTCTTATCAGTAAGGTCTGACGAACTTCGAAACTGCTGACACTCACACACACACATATATACATGCATAAACTTTTCCGTGGCTGTTACTTAAACTATAGGAATCATAAATGAATAGAAAAGGGGCGTTTTTATATCGGTGTAAATGTATAAGAGTTTTGTGAAATATTTTCTTTCACAATTAAAGATAAATAGAAAAAAAAAAACAAATTTGAACTACTCTAGGGAACAATTATTATTGAAGTGTACGTAAAAGTATTTTACGCGATGTGAATGTACGAAGAAAATAAAAGTTGTTTGTGATGCACGTATTTATAAATAACTTACTTACCACAATTATGACCAACAAATACTTTTACACATGCAAAATAGAGCTAAATTTCTAATCATAAATCTCTCGTACTCTTGTAAATAATTTCAGGTTACACCATATCGAGAAGTTATCCAATGAGAAAGCCGCTAACCTTTTGGTAAGTACGTCAATTACGTCAACCAAGTAATTTTCTAAATGCTTAGGAAAGAAAAAAAGGAAAACAATATTGTCTTTACGATTGTGACATAAATCTAATGCAAGCAAGTCGGCCCGAACTAACAGTTTCACAGAAACAAGAGCTAAGGAAATGATTTTCAAGAAAACACAAAATTACTTAAAGATGCTTTTACAATTAAAAAAGTAATTAAAGCTCACTAACTTTTAAGCAAAAATTTCGTTAATTTGAAAAAAAAAAAAACAATTACTCTTTTATATGTATTTCAATGTACTGTATACGCAATAGGCACAGGTATAAAAATTAAATAGTAAAAAATATATAAATTGTTATGAAATATACAAGTTTTTATAGAGCTTATTTATGAATGTCAAACATGTAAAATCTCTTTACGTATTCATAAAAAAAAAATCGTTCTCATTGCCTTTGAAATACATAGCGTAATGGAGTTGGAGAGCAGAGGCAACTTCCTCAATACCTCCTGAAAATGCCGCGTATGCCTTTTTAAAAATATAAATTCTTCATAATTTGTAAAGAAAATGAAACGAGCAACTTCGCCAAAAAATTTTATGGCAAGAATTTAATAAAAAAAATTAAAAAATCAAAAAAAAACTCTTAATTAATTTGGCTAGCACAATAGTGACACTCTTTGCATATGACAGCAGTTTTGAAACATTCAACGAGTGCAGTTTGAACGAGAAAAACAAAGTTTAGTTACAGACAGACTTCATTGAATTTTGATGAGAAAAAAAGCCAAATTAGTTTCTTACTTTCTCAGACCATAACTCATACCAAAACAACATTAGTGGAAGTTATAAAACTATATTCGAATTATCTTTAAGCCATGTATCTAATCAAGTTTTCGTAGTTTCATTATTTGGAATATTTAAAAAAATCTACCACAACTTATTTAAAAATACAGAGTAGAAAGAATATTTGAATTTCTTCAAAGGTAAAAATATTTAAGATTTTTTTAATGGTACAAATATTGAATTATTATGCGAAAAGTACTAAGTAGCACGCTTTTGGCGCCATTTATGAAAATATTTTGGATATAACGAAATTAGAACAAAAAAGCTTTAAATTTATTTTTTTAATTAAATTAAACAATATAATGATCTTTATTGAACTAAAAAATATATAAAATAAACTCTGAATAATATTTTTTATTTTTTTAAATATTAGTGGAAATGAGGTTACGTGTAAAATACAAAAAATATGATATAATTGACTAAACTTATGAGCTACCTAGAAAATATTTAGAAAGTGTTTTTTATTCAATTTCTACTTTCTTTAGTCCCTTTAGGATAGTTATATTTCAAGGAGTAATGAAGTCAGAAGTTTAGCAAACTATAGTAAATTAATAATTTTTATTTGCGGCCATGCTTTATATTAATTTTATTAAGTAAACTACGAGGCCTTGTCACTTCTACCATTTTTCTTTGTTGTATAACAAATATTTAATACATAACAACAACAAGGCCTCGTAATTTACTTAATAAATTTCTACTAAACTAAATTGTTTAAGATTGCGTAGTAATATCGGAAATATAATTAACTGAATACGTTTCAGAAAAGCTATGGTAAAAATTTCGAATCAAAAATATTTACAGGTTGTTGTTTTTTTCTGTTAAAAAAAAATCTCTCATGAGCTAAATTTTTTATTTTTTCTTACCAGTTCTTAATAAAATTCATTTTTTCTATGAACATGAACAGCCCAGCGACCAGCTCACTTCTCATAACTTTATACCAGTTGAAAGCTGAAGAATATTAACTGCATAAGTACATGTTGCAAACTTTTTTAAATACTGTGAATGGATGCATGTAGAAGCGGGAAGAAAAGAAATAGATGTTATTCATATATTCGTACATTATAAACATAGATGTGTATAAATACTCAAACGTACGACTTAAGTTTCATTTACAAATTTTTCACAAGTAGCCTTAGGTGCACTTACTTATGTCAATGGGTAAAACAACAATAGCAATAGCAATAATAATAATAATAATAATAAGAATAATAACGAAAAGTAGAAGGCACTTTGACTACAACCTTAAGGGGGCATGAAATATAAAGAGCACATCAAGGATGTTAGCAATAAAGTAAGAAAACCGACAAAGAAGCAAGGAAAAGATTTTATATTTATTTTTTCTCGACTTTTTATTCTTAATCAACCACACATGAAATTGTTCATATGCACATAGCTACATACGCATCATGCACATACGTGTATGTATATATAGATGAAAATATTTGCATATGTTGACTAAATGTCTGTGTTAACCCTTAAAAGCCACTACTAAAACGTTTATTAAAAATGCAAGGTAAATGTTTTTATTTCTTAACCATTGCAGCAGGTATACGTATAAGGTAGATAAAGAAATAACTCCAAATGTGAATGAAAATGTTTAAAATGGAAATAAAATGGAATAAAATTCTTTTTTGCAATAAAAATTATTTTGTCTTTAGTATACAAAGAATTATCCTTATTCAAAGCTATTTTTATTAATAACAAAGCGAGTCAATCTTGCATGAAGAATTCTATTGAATTTCACAAAAATAAAAAAAATTGAGCACCTTGAGGTATATACGAGTATTCATAGTCAAGTTAGAACCAGCTGCTACTTACTATCGCTATCGTAATCATAGTTGAGTTAAAAACGACTTTCGCACTTTCAAAGTCACTGCAATCCAGTTCTGTAATAAATATAAGAAAGTTCATTAACAGTTCTCAAAAGAAAAATTATGATAAATATTATAGAATGTTAAAGAAAGGGATTGATTTAGAAGCGAAACGTAAATAATTATTTTAAAAAGGCTTTTTCTTTCTATGTTTCTTTCTTACACACTTTAGTAGTGATAAAATTTTATTCGAATTGAAAATAATTTTTATTTTCTTCTAGATATCATTAATTGTTATCAATTGGACAAAAATTATGTGAAGAAAATCTTTGCAAGCCATACTCATTGAAAGGTTTTAAGGATATAGTTCCCATTAAAATGTGTTAGAAATAACTTTTATAATAAAAAAATGCAATCAACTATTTTGGTAAAATGTTCTACTTCATTAGAGTGGCGGATTTGGTGCATTTTCTTCATATAGCTTCATAATCTGAATTTAATTCCATATCTTTTTTTTTAGCTTTTTGGAAGTATTTATTGATTTATCTATTAATATCTAAGAGTTTTTAATAAAAACTTTAGTACTCGATTTTCTTAATATTTTTTTTTATATGTCTACAACGCCCAAAACAGATTACTTAAAGCCAAAGTTACGATGAAAACATGGAAAAAAGTTTTTTTATATGGTTTTAAATAACACTTTTTATCCTCTAATACTAGCACAAATTAAAGCTCTCTTAATAAAAAATACATAGTAAAAAATAAATAAATAGTTACGAATATTTTCTTAACATTTAAATAAATGTTTATAATGTCCTAAATGGATTCCTTAGAGCCAAAATTACAATAAAAACACGAAAAAAAGTTGGGTTCAGCCCCAAATAAAACCTTTCGCCCGCCAATACTGGCATACATGCAAGAAGCTCTATTCACTGCGTTTCGACTAGTCTAATGTTCGGCATAAGGGTTAATATTCACTCCCCCTAACATACTTGAGAAACTGCAGCAAAGTAGCTTGTAATGTTAGTCATATCGAGCGAAAAGCGCATATGAGCGACACACACACGTGTGTATGCCATAAGTAGGCAAAAAGAAAAAATCTGAGGTATGAATCTGAGGATGTTATGAAAACATACACATTTAGTGCATGTTTTACTACAAGTTCCTACAATGGTATGAGTAGAAGCACGCGTGAGCACCGGCAAAGCTAGGGGTGGGCAGATGAGTACTTGAAGAAGAAGACTTGCCTATGACGTGGATTTCCTTGTATTTTGTCATTTAAGCTGAAAATAATTGCAACTGCTTGTAATATTTTTCTTCTTGGCGCTTCTCACACATCATGCCGCCTATATATGTACATATGTATGTTGGTATGTATGATGCTACAATTGTAGGTGCTTACAGCTGCAGTTGGAACAACAATTTCCGCATCCGTTGCCATTTCCCCACGCTCTGAAATGTCGGCACTTTATTTTTTTTACAGTTTCTAACTAGTAGTGTATCGCATCACCAGTTGTTTTTGCTGTTGCTTTAAGTTTTTATATATATATACTAACATCTCCATGCATACTTATACACACATATTCACTTGAAACATTTAAGCCCGGCAGGTAATGTGTTTGATATCTCAAAATAGTTTGTCTCATAATTATTTTAATGACCTATTTTTTATTAATATTTCCGGGAATCGTTATTCAATAATTTTTATTAGTTCCTATCACTAGCGATATTGGATTTACATATCATATTTTTTTTAATTTTTGATCACTTTATTGTAACCTAAGACATTCCGACTGGTCTAAAATTTGCCGTAAGAACCAGAAACTCTATTTTAGAATTACTACAACTGCCATTTTCCTGGCTCGTGAGAGAACAGCTTGAGAATTAGCATTTTAGCATAATAAATAAATACCTTCAGCATTTCACTGCTGGGATGTTTTTTGTGTATGCCTCAAAAAGTTGAAACTTATACTTGCATACATTTGTGTGTTGACCCGAAGGACGAAGCGAATGGCATTTTTGTTTTTAATATCTTAGAATTATTAAAAAGGAACGCCAACAAGGCGGAAAATAAGAATACCATAGTGAGATTTTTTGGTCAAATGCAGGGCGCGGGGTAGTGGGGTAGTTTAACGCTTGAAGTCATGTTCTGCATAACTGCAATGCCGGCTATTTTTTTCAAGAGCTAATATATATATGTATATACAATAACAAATATTGTTCATATATTCTGCACAGGCATGACAGTAACTACGACTGACTAAGTGTTGTTGCATTTCACATATGAGTAATAAGAAAGAAGACTCGTCAAAAGAAATACAGCAAACTCTTCCAACAGTTCTAGGACGTTGCTGACAAA